GGTGGGGGGAGGAGAAATATAATAAAAATAAAATCTATTAAATGTAATCCAATGAGTGATAACCTGATAATATCTAAGGTGCCTCAAGTTAATTAAATGTTTCATCCATTTTGAAATCTATTGGCAGGATGAAACATTTAAATTTATCTAAACAACTATAGTCAACATTCAAAATTAACTATAGATGATATGATCAGGTTATCACTCATTTTTAATTTAGACTTTCAGAAAATTTTGAATGTCTGGAACACATCTATAGTTAATTACATCTTAGATAACCGAAATCACCTAAGAAAACTCTTGATAAAAATCAGATAATATCATCTTCAAAGAGGTCAAAAGGATAGAACTTTTCAACGAGATTGGAAAAAGAGGTGTGAATGGAAAAAGAGGTGTGGAAAAAGAGGTGTGAAAGGGAAATGACTCAAATTTGGAACATTTATTGTAGAATCTAAAGGAGGAATAACTACGGGATGTCACAGACCCAGAGGACTTCGGTGACTTCCCAAAATACCCTATGGTTTGACTTCTGTTTTGGAGAGATATTTAAATGTTTCATCCTGCCATTTTTATTAATTAGGGCTTACATTTGTGTGATACGATCACGCAAATAACCTGGAAAATGTGATGATATAGGTCGTGACAAACGACAACCTCAGAATCCTTAGATGAGCTAGGGCTTAATTTATACAACAGAGCTATACAAAAACCAAAAGAAAAATTGAGAATTTATTTTACATAAGCAAATCACCTGGAAGTCCTATGACTTGGTTATTTAATTCTAAAGAAAGAGTGGTTTAGCTGATGTTGATATGTTCTGCTGTTGAAGATAGCCGTGCTGCCTATAATGCTAGCTCCAAGCTTCTCGTCGCGACAAGTTTATGTTATCTAATGTGTCTAGTTATGATGTCAAATCAAATGTCCCTAAGGGTCATGCGACAAGTTTATGTTATCTAATGTGTCAAGTTATGATGTCAAATCAAATGTCCCTATGGGTCATGGTTATTTAAATATTATGGGGCATATTAAAATTGATGAAAGTTGATTAGAGCGACACCGGTTAATATCCTACTGTTCACTTGTTCCGGTATCACTATTTTCTTTCGGATTCACTTAGTCTAAATAAATTTACTAAACTCAACTTTATGAGTTCCGTACTTTCATTTAGACTGAGAAATCTCGTTAGCAACCGTGAGTTACTTACTCCGAGGGATTCACGATCATCCGATAGAGACGTTTTAATTTAGTTGCAATTTTTGTTTTGTGATGTTTGTGATTAAATTTTGAGTTGTCTTATATTTTGAATGTTGTGGCGATAAATTTTATCTTGATTTCTTTTTGGTTTTGGTTGTGATTTTACGACTATCCTAGCAGTTTTGGTTTTCATGCAGGGTGACATCGTTGTTTAACATACAAGCTCGAGGCAAGAAATACAAAAAAGTAAATGCAATAATTTAAAAACGTACCTGTCAATTTTTCTCATTCCTCCACCTGAAAGGTTAGTACTTGCAAGACATATATATAATTTCACAGGGAATTTAAATTACAGGAGTAGATGAATATTTAGTTACCAAACCCAAAGTTATGACTTTATTGAATCTCAAGAAGATCCTAGTGGATAGTTTTAGAATAAATATGACAAGTCCAATTAGCCCGTCAGAATGTCCAATAGATTTCAAAATGCTCGAGGCATGACCCTGGACCATTTTGAAGATCACTTAAAATATTCTAAGTTCATTTTGGACTTATCATATTGTTCCATTAATCATCTGAGATTGGAGTGTGACTATCCTGTTACTTAGTGAAACTTGACAATTTAATTATCCCAAGGATATGATACCCAGTTAATCAATTGATGTTTCGTTTAAAGGTAATGTGAGTGGGTGTCCCTATGACAAGTTTAAGTCATTTAAGATTGTGGTGTCCATAATTAAGGTCAAGCTTGTAGTGTTAAAAGACTTTAATCACCAATCATATTATCTTCTAAATCCGATCAATTGAGTGTAGACATTGAGCCTTTGTCACTATTAAGCCTTTAATAATCATGATAGGTGGAATGGTGATTATCAAAATTTTTATTTAAGTGATATATATTCTTATTGAAAGATCACATCATCATCAATCTTAGACTCAAGATAAGTAAATTATCATATTTTCTATCTTAAGCCTATCACTTAAGAATCATTTGATCTTAATTGACATTCAAGTCATGAAAATTAGGAGAACTATGATCTTGTTGATGTTGTGCAAAGGTGGTGAGTGAGTTTCTACCTTTTAGTTCCATTGTATTTCAATCATCCAAACATGTTCATTAGAATCAAAATTTTTCCATTTTTTTCTCTTGGTTAATCCTAAATTTTGATTAAGGACCAAAATAAAAAATGATTATTTTGCCCTTGGGGTACTTTACCTCATAACTCGTTAAACACAACTCGTTAAACACAACTCAAATGACTAAATGACTTGAGCATTCAGAGTGGCATATCCAGGAGTTAATAATAATATCAGAAGAGGATAATGTGATTTTTCTTTGTGTTGTTTTTTCTTATTTAATTTAATTTAAATAATTATTTAAATTAAGGAAACATACTTTTTAAAATTGATTTATTTAACTATCGAAAATAAACATTTTATTTATGAGAACATTATTAGAGGTTTCCTTAAGTCAGATAAACACTTAGGCAAAATTTCATGATTTTTTGAATTAATTTTTCAATAATATTATTTAATTTTGGATCAATTTCAATGAGTTAATTAAATAGAAAATAGTGTTTTAATTATCAAAATTATTTTATATTTTTATTAGAATTCTCTGAGTTCATAAAACTCATAGAATCAATTTTTGTATTTTTATGATTCTTAATTTCATTATTATAATTATTTTAATGAGAAAATAAGTAAAACTCATTTATAAGCTTTTAAAATTTATTTTTAACTTAGCAAAATTAGGAAAAATATCCTAATGAATTCTATGTGATCAGGGAAAATTTATACACATTTTCAACAATTTTTTATATTTTTTGATAATTTTGATTATTTTAATTATTTTTAATTCAAAATACACTTTAAAATTGACATACTTTCA